AAGCGTGGAAAGGACCCTAAACTATTCCACCAAACTGAAAAAAACCTCACTGCCATCAAGTTGATTGGAAGCAGACTGCCCCATCTCGCTCCCACAGAGCCGCTTGGTGGTTTCGAACCACCGACCTTTCAGTTAGCAGTCAATTACTTTAACCACTGTGCCTCCAGGGCTCCTTAAGCTGCATCAGAATCACCTGGAGGGCTCATTAAGGCTCAGGTTGCTGGGCTCCTCCCCAGAGTTTCTGACTCAGTGGGTCTGGGGAGGGCAGGAAGACAGCGTTTTTAACAAGCTCCAGGTGATGCTGATACCGCTAGTCCATGGACCACATTTTGTGGACCACTGAATAAGAAAACCACTTGGGCAGGATTTACTGTGCAGGAACCAAAAAACAAAACAAAACAACAAAATAACTCACGAAAACCAGTGGCCATTGAGTCAATTCCAACCCATGGCGACCCCATGTGTGTCAGAGTAGAACTGTGCTTCACAGAGTTTTCAATGCCTGATTTTTTTTCAGAAGAAGATTGCCAGGCCTTTCTTCTGGGGTGCCTCTGGGTGGACTTGAACTATCAACCTTTTGGCTAGTAGCTGAGAGCATTAACCGTTTGTACTGGGACAAAATAACGCATCCCCGCCCTCCCACAGTCCCTGCTCTGCAATCCAAGGAAGGCTTCCTCTGTCTCCCTTCACCACCTGGCCTTTCTTCCTCCTTTAATCTGGGGACAGCCACGGTCTTTAACAAACCACAAAAATTGTTCCAGATTGCAAGGCTCATAGGCATCTCCAAACGCAAGAAGAGAAGTCAGAGATGTGGCATCACCTGGGACCTGAGCAGCTTTTCAGGTTGAGGCTTTGAAATGAGGTCTTTAAATATCCACACAAATTAAAACATGAAGGATGTGCTCCATATTTTTAGCACTACCAAGGAAGAGTCTGAGTCAACAAACCAGCCCCAGGTAAAACAGGCCACACTGATGTCAGGGCCCCACCCCCCCAGGCCAGAAGGACCATGGCATTTGGCTGTGCTCACTGATATCTAAACCAAGAAAGAATCCAACTAGCCGTCCAATTTAGAAATAACTACATAAAAGAAAAAAAAAAAAGAAATCCTTCACTTGACAGCGATGTGTGTCCTGAGTCCCGTGTCAGCAGGAGCTAATGGATTTAATTCACACGTTTTAAAAAATGTCCAGGACTCTGTCTCCACTTTAAGTAGTTTAACTAGCGGGAAGACTTCTCCGGTGTTGTAGAAATCACTTATTACCTTTGAAGGAGTTTAATATTTGCTTTGAAAACCACATTCACATACACATAAGGAGGTTTATTTCTAACGCTGAAAAGTCATGGAGAATTTTGTCCACTTTGCTAATTAAAAGAGGCCTAAATATGTTATGTCCTTGATGTGCCAAATCTTGTGATTTCTTAATTTCAATACTAGCACTGAAATCCTAGAGCTAGACATATTACATCTGTCTCAGGCTCAGACGTTTGATTATTCATTCAATGATTCAACAAATATGTATTGATTGAGTACCAACTAAATGTCAGGTGCTAGGTTAAGTACCCGGTCTACAACAGTCAGAAAAAACAGTTTTTGGAGTTAATGTCTGACTCCTCCAGTAAGGGATGAAGTAATAAATAGCGAGAAACCGAGAGATGGGCTGTGAATGTATTACAAGGGAGCCAGATGTGGACTAAAAGGAGAGAAACACTGTCCTGAGAAAATGATGCTTTAGTGGAGATACAAATGAGGAGAGTGTCCTAGGAGAGAGAACGCTGAAGCCAAGGCCCACACTGTAGCAGGGGAGACACAACCAGCATGAGAGCCAGTGTGGTTAGAATGCAAAAACGAGGGGCTAGGAGAAGACATAAGAGGGATCAGACAACGCAGGGCCTCGTGGGCCCCACTACAGATTTCCATCTTTGTCTTAAGAGTAATGCAATTTGTTAGAAAAGTTTTAAGCAGTGGGGTGACATGATTCCATTTGCTTTTTTAAATGCTCACTTTGGCTCTGAGTGGAGAACACAGCTGAAAGTGGCCAGAGCTGATGCCGGGGAGAGCTGTTATTAAGTGACTGTAGTAGCCAAGGCAAGCGATGGTGGAGAGGAGGGGCTGGAAGGCACTTTCCAGGACCTAAACCTGATGTGTAAAGGACAGATTGCTATGGAGGGAAGGAAAAGGTGCAGTCGAGGATGATCCCTAGGTGGGTAGGTGCACCTGGGCCAATGGCGGTGCCATTCCTCTAGGCCTGGGGGGAGAGGGACAGTGGGTCAGGCATAAGGGAAGGGGAGAATCATGAGTTTGGGCTGAGATTGAATCTGAGGTGCTTTCAAGACATTCAGGTGGAGATGTTGAGTACGCAACAGGACAGATGGATCTGGAGGCTCAGAGAAGAGATGTGGGCAGGAAATACAGATATAAGCCATGGGCACAGAGGTGGTGAGTGATGCCTTGGGAATGAATGAGATTTTCTGGGAAAGAGGTAAAAGACTGAGAAGAGAAATAGGGTGAGTGTGCACCCTGACAAAGTTAGTGGGAAACCAGGAGAATGTGGTGGGATGGAACTCAGAGAAAAGAGTGCTCCAAGAGCGAAAGGGTAGCCAGCGGGTCAGTGCTCAGGGAGCCCCACACAATGACTAAATGGAGTGATTGTCACAGGGTAACCACAGACCTGTGGGAGCAGAATACCAAGCACTCAGCCAAGCAAGTGAATGGCGGAGACACCGAGTGCAGATAATTCTGTCAAGAAGTCTGGCTATGACCCCTCAAAACTATTACTCTGAGGAAACCTTTAGACCTTGGACCAAAACTATCCCCTTAAGTCATCTCTGAATCAAATAACAGTTTAGCCTAATTAGAAAAGAATTTCTGCATTAAACACTATACTCCTTTAAAGAATTATCTGTATGTGATCAAATTGACAATAGCAACTTGAAAGGATAGATGAGAAGCTTAGAGGGACAGTGAGTCTGTGTTAATGATGGTGAAATAGTTTGGAAAAGGTTGTGGAGAAAGGTGGCACAACTTAAAGAATGGAACCGATGTCACTGAATTGTACATGTATAAATTATTGAAATGGTGTGTGCTGTGTATATTTTCACCAAAAAAAGAAATTAAAAATTCAAAAAAAAAAAAAAAAAGGAGTTTGGCTGCAGTCCCCTCTCTCTGGAACTCCACCAGTGAGATGACCTACAGGGTATTGCACACAACAAGTACTCAATAGTAGCTGCCTCCAGTCTTTGGAACGAGGCCAGGGATAAACAGATACATCTAGGAAGCAGTCAGCCCGTATCTATATAGCTGAGGCTTCAAGTTTCCAACTGCCAAAGAGATGATTCCAAATCATGGTGGCCCCATGTGTGTCAGAGTAGAATGGTGCTCCATATGGTTTTTAATGGCTGATTTTTCAGATCACGAGGACTTTCTTTCGAGGAACCCCTGGGTGGACTTGCCTCTCCAACCTTTTGGTTAGCAGCCAAGCACTTGTTTGTGCCACCTGGGCAAATTTCTACGGACTACCCTCTCTGATTTTCCCTGAGGGAAGTTGTTCTACCTCCTTACAGCAGCTTTAAAAGTCAGTCTCTAAAGACTCCCTGTCCGCTCAAGCTCCTACTGGCTTGTTTCCCTCTGGGGATGTGATGTCCTTCCTACCAAAATCAAAACACGTGTCCATCCTTCAGAATCCACCTACAACTAGGAACATCCATCAAGAAAAGGTGGCGCTAACTCCTGTCTTAAAGGGCTGAAGCCTGCTTTCTTTTAGTGTCTGTCAGAAGATCTCACATGCTTTCCATGAGTACGTGCAGCTCCCATGAACCTTCAGCTGAGCTGTAACAGACAGCAGTCTCTAGCTGATCCATCTCGCAGCCGGTGGCTGACTGCTCCTGGTGGGATATGGTGGACTCAGAGGCTGCCTTCTGGCCCACTGCTGTTGTCACCTGTCACATTAATGTCTCAGAGCTTGAAGAAAGACCTTCCTCTGCACCACAACCCATCTGGCTCCAAGTCACTATTTCTTGGCATTCCTTCCACAAGTGGGGTCCCCATGGATTTGCTGGCTGGTGAGGGGCTACTACAATCTGTTCACTTGCTTGATGCTCCTGTCCAGGGCCCCATGTCCAAAGAACATGAGGAACTGAGAGTGGGGACACAGGGGATGGGCCAGGTGTGAGGAGATGAAGCAGATGAAGCCTGAGAACGTGGCAAAGGTGGAATGGGCTGGATCCAGGTGATACCTGACTTGGGCCAATGGACTCACTGGCCTCTTTCTGAGAAACTGATGAAACACCCACAAGAAGAGCACTGCTGTGAAGTATGGAGGTCTAAAACATCAGTCATCTGGCAGAACGAGAAGACCTGGCTGGACTTTAGGAACACAGGGATGACTTTCTGAGAATGGCTGTGGTCTCAGGGTGACTGTGTTTCTGGAATAGTTCATGTGAAGTCCAGTTAGAGGACTTCCTGAAGATAGCATGGTCTGAGGACTCATGGCCACAGGCTAAGGCTGGCCTCTGTCTATCTCAGCTGCCACTCACAGGCCTTTGGACGGGGGCCTGTCAAGAAGGGACTTTGGCAGGGTCCCTCTGCCAAGATCACCTCGTGGCCTCCAAACTTCTGATGTCCTGAGGGATCTAAGGGGGCAGGCAGCTTGTCATGAGATTACGACACAGAGAAACTGGGCATGAGTTCAAGCCATCCTCACCCTGGACAGACTGCAGCTGCAGCCTTCGTGCCCCTATTTTTAGCCTTGTGGGAATATCTGGCATGTCTGTGTGCCCAGAAGAAACACTCTCCTCTGCTCCTCTGGCCTGGTGAGTGGGAAGCTGGTTGACAAGGCCCTCAAGCCCCCTCACCCATCCCCCATGTTGGCAGCCTCAGGTGTGACTGGGTTTGCAAAGGGGCTCAGGTGTTCTGTGGGCTGTGAGACCCTGTGGAGATTGGAGCAGGCTCCCCACACAGCCGCTGGAGTACATCCACTGCAAGAGAAGCCCCCGCCTACCTTTGATTCCTTCTTCTTGATTTTCTGAGGTAGACATGGTCTCTGGAGAAAGACAATCTGCTTGGTGGATACATTCCCCTCCCTGTAACACACGCAGAGCTGAGAATGAGTTTCCTTGTGCCTGGAGAAACCCAAAACCTGAGGCAGATGCTGCGATCCCTGACTTCACCTAGGCAGACCACCCACAGAAAGGAAAGCTACCACCAAATCGTGGGAGGTTAGAAATCGAGAAGCCCACTCCCCACTCTCCCACCCCTAGGCCAGCCACGTTTGCTTCCAGGGTACTGTTTCAGGGGCCCAACCAAAGCTGTTTGGGTGTCCTGCAAAGTCAGTTTCACAACTGGAGACTCCTATCCCCTGATGTGAAATAACAGCCTAGCATCTTGGCCAAATGATGACAAACTGGCTTCTTCAGTGAATCTCAATGGGGTGGGAGGCCTCTTCCAAACTGTCTCTGGTAGTGATGCCACAGAGGGGCCTGGTTGGCCTGGGATGGTCGGGTAGATGAGGACCTGGGCGGTGAGCTCAGTGGATCAGCCATTTCAGAATAGAGGGCAGAGGGGTTGCTGTGCGCAGGATCTCGGCCATACGTGGTCTGGCCGTGTGGCGAGACAGCACGGCTCCTGCAGGTACATGATGATTGCTCCTGCACTGGGTGGCAGGCGGGGCCCTCAGCTCTGCCTCAAACTCACAAAAGGGGCGAGGGGACTGCTCTTTCCCCCCAGGAAAACAGGACTCCATGGAGCTGCCTTTAAAGATGATAGAAATATTGGAAGGGAGATAATTGTCTTCCCCTCCCGCTCCCACCCTTCTGGTGACTTTCTTTAAATCTCTGTTTTGCAAATGTCTTGCTACTTTGTGTGAGGAACTGAGTTGGGTGATTTCACAACTAACGGTTCACTTAACCAGTTGCCCTGGAGTCAACTCCAACTCATGGAGACCCCATGTGTGTCAGAGGAGAACTGTGCTCCACAGGGTCTTTTAGTGGCTGTTTTTTTGGAAGTAGACTGCTAGGCCTTTCTTCTGAGGCGTCTCTGGGTGGACTCCAACCCCCAACCTTTCAGTTAACAGTCGAACACATTAACCATTTGTACCACCCAGGGATTCTCAAGTATAGATAGCAAACCCAAAGTACAGATGGAAGGCCTTTCAGGGTTGGTATGACTGGGACAAGCCCATGGGTTCAAGGGACAGCAGGGAGAGCGAACGGCGGACAAATGGCAGTGAATGGGAAATTGTAAGGAATGCTACAAGCAAAGGCTGAGACCCCAGGTCTTCGTATCCCCTTTGTGGGGCCACTAACCAGTACCACGATCTTGGGCAAGTCTCCTAAACTCCCTGCCACACTTTCTTCAGCTGTAAAATGGTTTAATAAAAACTACCACCTCATAGGATTTTATTTTGAGGACTAAATAAAATTATAAAGTGCCCACCTAGCTCTGCACAGGGTACATAGCAGGTGCTGGATTTCTTTTGCATCTGAGGGCCCTAGGCAACCTCCACCTAGGTGGTACCCTGGAACGTGCAGGACAGGAACTCTCCACTGGCCAAGGCTCCCCCTCAGGAAGGAGGGCACAGGGGAGTCCCTGGGCAGTGGTGGTAAAGAAGCTGAAATCCTAGCTCTGCCACTAACCACACCAGTCTCCAAGGACTAGATGAATTATGCAAGTACAGTGCTAATTAAGAACGGTGCCTAGCACAGAGTCAGTGTTCAGTAATAAATGTTACCCCTGCTATTGTTACCTGGTCGTCTTGATGACGGGAGTCGGTAGCACGCAGCTGAGCTGCCAGCCATAGGCAGCCAGTGAGTTCAGCAGGGGCACGTAGTCTGTCTGCACCTCGACACCCTGGAGAGAAAGGCCATGTTAGAATCTCACACCGACTCCCAGGTGACTGAGAGGGGACATTCAATCCACCAAGCCAACAAAGCAGAGAGGAGTGGGGGTGCTCTGCAGCTCAGAGGCCCCTGCTCCAATGTTCGCCGAAAGATCTTTAAAGAGTTTGGAGCAAACCGACAACATGGGATTTCGTTCCAGGCCGGCTCAGTCTGTGTAGTCAGCAAGGAATCGGAGCCAAAGAATTAATCCATTAATTTTGTTTGATTCTCATCTGGACAAATAGCCTCCTGTGAGTTTCACTGAGGAAGCACAATTGCCTCGCCTCACAGATGCATTCAGGGCATACGACAATGCACGCTGCTCCGGGTAATCTCGGGGCGCATCATGGGGGTTAAATTACATCTGACAGATGATCAGGGCATCTGCATCCAGCCACAGCGGCACACACACACATGCACGCGTGTGTGTGACCGCGGAACAGAGGGATTTCACCTCTGTTACACACCCTGCCTTCCAGGAGTAAATGCTGCCCACGTTGTACTTCAAATCAGGAATGGGGGTGGGGGGCGGTCAAACCTTTCAATTTAGAGACTCAGTCCAGCTCCCACAGGCAGATAACGCTGACGTGCAGCCAATGCATTTGGTCCCATACTCAGACATTCTCCCTCCAAAGGGCAGCGAGTCTTACCCTGGGCTCCTCACTAAAATTGAAAGTGCAGCCCCTGCCCCTGCTCTGGGTGGACACTGAATGCCCCATCTCTGTTAGGCTGGCTTCAGAAAATCCCAAACGCGTGTCCAGATTCCTTCCAACCTATGCAGCCACGTGGCTTCATTCATCTGGTATTTGCAAGTGGGTGGTGGGTACAGAGGTGAACACGAGCATGGTGCTGCCTGCTAGAGTTCACGGTCCACCAGCATTAACTTGCAAATAACCAAAATACACCTGAAGTACAAGAAAAAAAAAGTAAAAAAAAATAACTAAAATGCAAAATGGCAGGGCCACAAGGCCCCGAATGTCAGAAGAGAGAAGGATCCTAGCCACAGTCAAGGTTGGCTTTGTGGAGCTCAAGGGTGACAGGTAATTGACAGGTGGAGTTGGGGGAGGGGCATTCCAGGGGGAGAATGCCAGCATGTGCAGACTAGAAGATAAAAAGTTGGGAGGTAGGGCCTAGAGCACTGAGGAGGGTGGGCTTAACTCGGGAGTGCTCTGCTCAACGGGAATGGTCCATGGTGTGGGCTGTTCAGGTTGGGGCCTTTTGGAAACAGAACCAGTTCACTTGGCTGCCCTGGGCTAGAGGGCCGGAAGGATGAGGAAACAAACAGCCCCACCTTTTTAAAATACTTTTAAAGTTTCTATAACTGGGCACCGGTCCCAGTGTGGCTACCAAGTCACTTGAGCCCCTGGCAATTTATCCTTTGGGAGCCTTAGTTTCCTCAACTGTATAAAAATATGTATTGGCCCATATCGGTGGTTCTCAAAGTGTGGTCCCGGGGCCACCAGGGAGCTTGTTAGAAATGCACACTCTCAGAGGCCACCCAGACCTGCTGACTCAGAAACTCTGTGAGTGGTCCCAGGAACTAGTGTTTGAACAAGGCTTTCCACTACTTCTGATGCAGCTGAGTTTGAGAATCACTGCCTACGTGATCTCTTAGGTCCCTTCGCCAGAAAAGAATCTACAGTCTGTGGCCAGAATGCACCCACTGTTACCTGCAGTCTAACCTTTCCCATCATTCTTCATGGGAAGAAAACAAATAGGTGGACCTTTAAAAGGATCAGCAGAAGGGAGGAAGGAGAAAAAAGTGGGGGAGAAGAGAAAGCAAGGGAAGGAGAAAAAGAGCGGGAAGGGAAGGGAAAGAGAGGGAGGAGAGGAGAGAGAGGTCCAAGTATAATCAATTTACAGGAGGCAAACAGGGGAGGCCCTCAATATCGCTCCTTCCTGGGAAGCCCCGCCCAGGCCAGCAGAGGACCAGCAACCCCCACCTTCCAGACCAGAGCATGGCCAGCGTCCCCACTATGGGCATTGTCCATTGTCCCCCCTTGTTGAAGGAAGGGCTGTGTGACTGTTTTATCCAGAGCAGCCTGCCACCATCCCTTCACTCCTGGTTTAGAGAGAGGAGGGAAAAAATTAAAACCCACACTCTCTGGCTTTGCAAGGTTATGATTACTTGGGCCTATCAAGAATAACCTTCCCACTTTATCAAGCACTGTGACAAACCTGCCACAATCAGACAGTAGCCATGGCAACCAGGACAAGCTTTGGCGCCTCACAAAGCCCTGAGTGGCAGAATGGAGTCCTTTTATTGGTGACTGCGCCTCGGCCGGGTTTTCTCCTTTCTACATCAGCACCCAGAGCAGCAAGACAATGAAGGACCCCCGCTGAAGCCTGACCCGCCTGCTCAGACACCCTGGGCCTGCGAGCTGCTTCTATTTTGCTCTATTTTATTTCATTCTGCCACTATCTTAAAGAGAAAGACAGCAGGATTTTTCCCAAACATTTTTTTCCCTTGGAGGTAGGGGATGTCAGCTGGAGTGTAGAGAATCATAAAGCCAAAAGAAAAGGAAAAACACAACAAAACAAACACAACCCTGCCTGAGAGAGCCGAGGGTTCCATCTCAAGTATTAATTTCTGGCCGTCACACGGTGAGCTGGAAAGTAAAATATAAGGGGTGGGGGTGTGGTGTGACACTCCACCAGACCCGCCCACTCCAACTATTTGGGCTTGTCTTGATTTAATTAATGTTAAATGTGGTTTTCCATTTTACAAATGAGTATTATAAATAGAGTACGAAGATGCCATTTCTAAAATATGAGCTGAGCTCCACACAGTGAGTGGAAGGCTTTTAAGTCCATTAGCTAAGAAAGGTGGTAGGAAACATCTCTGGATGGAAGGGTCTCTTTGATCTGCTTTTGTGTGACACTCCAGAGAGGAGAGAAGAAGGCACAAACAGCACTCAAAAGCCAGCCTGCTTATCAGACGAAAAGACGTTTCCTTCTGTGAGTAGGAGCACAAAATTTTAATTAACTCTCCACTCTCCTGTGGTGGATACGTAATCTCCGATCACACCTGGAGTGTGAAAAAAATGCAGCACGTCCTGTGGTTTTTCAACTTGCATGAGAGGAATTCATTTGTATTTATAGTTCTTTTTTTCCCTTTTTCCCTATGATTTCTTCCCAGTGGTCGCAAATCAACTAAAAAAACAGACACCCAACACAACTTTCCTTTACCCTCCAAAAATTATGAAGACAGAATGTAGAGTTTACTAAGAAACGCATTTGTCTTTTGATCTTTTTTTAAGATCCTCCGTTCAGGGAAATAATTAGGAGGTAACACACTGATCCCCTGAGAAAGTCTGCATTCTGAATGGCAGTTTGCGCTTCCTTTTTCCCGTTTCAGTCTGTGGAAGTAATCTGGGAGAACAGCAGTTTATAAGAGAATACTCTGCTCCCTATATGACTGTAAACGAGTCACAGGGACTTAATCTCCCATGTCTGAAAGATGTGCAGGAACAGCTCAGGGACGTTCTCCATACCTGAAAACAGTGACTGGGAACTGTTTGCCTCTATTCCTGACATCCACAGGGTGAACCCTTGTCTTTCACCAAGAATGCATGTAAGAAAAAAACCCTGCAAAAATCACTTCTGTGTCATTTATAAAATTGCTACTCAAATGATAATGCCCAACACTTACTAGCAGAGTAAATTTATACTATTATTACTTTACTTATCAATTTTAGGTATTATCTATTGATTTCACACCATGGGAAATGAAGGCTTAGCACTCCCAAACACATCTCTCACTTCCTTTTTCTTTTTGCTCCAAAGTTATACTGTAATTTTGGCTAAATCAAAAGTCAGTTTTTGGGTTATTATAACTTCACAAACATTGCTCAGTGCTGGGTGAAGTGATGCACTGTGACCACACCTTCATTTTTATACAACCCTTTGTTTTTCCTGGAGTTAATCATTACCTCAATTTTTTTTTCATCTGCCTGGTTGTCCATGAACTCATCACTAATTTATTCTACATGATCCAGTATACTTATTACATGCCCATTAATAAATTTTCCATGTGTCTAGATACATTAGTTCCATTTTTTCTCCGAAGACATCATTTCTGGAGCCCTCTGTCCCATTGCTCCAATCTAGTTTGGCTGCTTTCCATGCCTGGGGTCTCTTTTCCACTACTGTTCTATGGCTGTTTTTAATTTCCGGGTTTCATCCTAATTTTGCTGGAACACATTCTCTAGTGGCTCCCCAGGAAACAATGCCCTGTCCAAAACCAAAACCAAACCCGTTGCTACCAAGTCGATTCGAACTCATAGCAACATTATCCCTGCATCCCTAAGACTGTCTCTATCTTCACCCTTAACTAACTGTTTGGGTACAGAATTCTGGGATGAAAGTTATTTTTCCGTCTAAATTTTGAAAGTATTGCTCCACTAGCTTCTAGATGTCAGCATTGCTATTGAGATATCCACTGTGACTACTGATTTTTGGGTGTAAGCTATTGTGTCTCTTTGGAACTTTTTAGGGTCCACTCCCCCACCCCAGAGTTCCAGAGTTTCTCAACAATGTGTCTTGGTGTGAGTCTTTTTCACTCAAAGGACTGGGCACTTGATGGACTTGCAATCTGAGGATTCTTGTGTTCTTACTTTTTTTTTTTTTTGTTCTCCTTTGTTAAGTTTTCCCCCCTGCCCTTTCCATCTTCTTTCTTTCTGGAACTCCTACTAGTCCAAACGTGGGATTGATATTTACTGTATTACCTGTTTTCTTCTAATTCTTTCCTCTTTGTCTTTTTATTTTACCTTCTGAAAGATTTCTTTGACTTTGTCTTTCAACTTTTTTACGTTTTAAACTTTTCTACCACCCAGTTTTAAAGATCCAAAAGCTCTTTCTTACTTTTTCATTGTTTCTTTATGACATCCTATTTTTGTTTCATGCATACACATATTTCATATCTTTAAGCATTTTCTTCTGATCCTTGCATTGTCTCTACAGTCCCCAGGT